ATTTATTAGAAGAGCTCTGAAATTTATCTCCCTAGAGGAGATGCCCAAGGGCATAATAAAGTCATGACTGACAGAACTCTTTTCTTAAAACAGTGTGTCTGAGTGATTTTCATCTTGTTAATCATGCAGATGAAAATCTCTGACCATAATGATTAAGAATCAGAAAACAAAGATAATTTTCAAAGCCTAAACATTTACAAAAGCCTATACATTTAAAAACACTTCCAAATTATTCATGGACCAAAGCTGAAATCATAATGAAAACTGTAAAATATTAAAACTGAAGGACAATTGTAATGTGTTCTTTCATATACAATAATAGTATTACACACAGCAGTAATAGTACTGTAACTCCATTAGGCTTCCCAGACCCATTCCAATGTGTGTAAGTACGTGGGAGGGGGTCTTCCCACACATACTTAGACCAAGCAGTTCTCAAGCACCAGCAGGGTGTTGGAGAATTCAATTCTGGTGCTATCTGCCTGGAGACAGCACCAGATTTCCCAGGTTAAGGGCTCCATCCCACAAGACTGCCCTCCACCCCCAAAACTCCAGTCACCAGTCACAATCCCCAGACAGTTACCTGTGCCTCTGACCTACCGGCTACAGATTGGAGGTTCCTACATCCTCCTGCTTAGGTTCAATTAATTTGCTAGAGCGGCTCACAGAACTCAGTAGAACATATTTACCAGTTTAATATAGGATACCGTAAAGGATACAAGTTAACAATCAAGGGCAAGGTCCCAAATAAAGGAGCTTCTATCCTCGTGGAGCTTGAGGTCTGACTCAGTGGCACATGGAGACTGTTTGTCTCTGTAAGCATAAGCTCTGCCTAACTGAGAAGCAGGATTCAAGAGCAATACACTCTTCGTAGGCATTTTTGTGAGGACATCCTCGCAGTCAAGATTGACTAAATTATTGGCCACTGGCTGATTCAACCTCCAGCTCCTGCCCTTGGACGGAGGGTCCAAAAGTCTCTCGTTAACAGGACAAAACACCCATTCCACCTTTAAGACTGCAGTGTTCTCAGGAACTGTGGTTGAGGACTAAGAGTACCTGTGAAATATATATTTGGTCATATGAATGACCAAGTATGTATTTCCTATGACTCATTATATTGCAACAATGAAATATCAAAAAGTGTTTGATGCAGCTAAGGCAATTTTACTGTATTAGTTAGTTATTGCTACATAATAAAAAATTACCCCAATTTAGCAGCTTAAGTCTCATTTATTACATCACAGTTTTGGTGGGTCAGGAATCTGGGGGCAACCTGAGTGGTTTCAGCTCAGGGTCTCTCACAAGACTGATCCAAGATGCAGCTACAGTCATCTGCAGCTGGTCCATCCAATTTCAAGTTCACACACCATTACTTCCAGTGTTTGTTAGGAGTGTATCCCTGGGTCCAGTCCATTTTCAAGCAGAGAGGAATTAAATTCTACCTTTTGAAGGGAAGAGTATCAAAGAATTTTGTGGACGTTACTTTAAATCTACCACAGTATTACCTAGACAGAAATTTACAGTCTTAGATGCATTTATTAGGAAAAAAAGAAATAACTAAATTAAATGTTGTCTAATAGAGTAAGTTTAAAAAAAATAGAGGAAGCCTCAAGTAAGAGGAAGGAAATGAATAGGCAAAAATAAATAAAAGAATAAAAATGTTCTACAACACTGAAAGCTTGTTTCTTGAAAAGATGACTAAAGAAATAAATGTTCAGCAAGACTGATCAAGAAAGAAGAAAGATTATAAATAACATTATTAAAAATGGAAAACAGGACAACTGGGAAGAATTGAGAAGATCTACATCATAACTTTGAAAACAGAGACAAGGACAATTTTATGTAAAACATAACTTACCAAATTGTGATGACATAGAAAACCTGAATAGATTATGATTTCCAAATAACATTAAATTTTTTATTTAATCTCTCTCAACAATAAATACCAGGTCCACCTGGGTTTCACAGTCAAGTTTTATCAAACTTTCAAAAAAGCATAAATTCCTATAAAAAAGTATTAGAGAAAACAGAGGGAATTGCTTCCTATACCATTTATAAGACTAATGTAAATTTGATACTGAAGCTAGACATACAGAAGGGAAGTCTGTAAAGGCCAGTTTTACTTACGAACATAGATACAAAAATCCTTAATATACAGAATTGAGAAAAAAGTATTGAGAGTTTACTCCTGGAATGTAAAATTTTAACATAAAAAATTATCAGTGTCATTCATCAACAGATTAAAGGAGGGAAAAAAATATGATCACATCAAGAGAAGAAATGCAGTTGATATAATTCAATATTCACTCCTAGTGAAAATGCTTAATCAACTAGGGATTGAATTCTATTAATAAAGCATATACTACAAAATCCTTGCCTGTATTCATTCTGTCTGGTATGACCTTAGACTTTCCTTCTTATCATTCAGATTTCATCTTTAATGCCACCTTTCAGAGAAAGCCTTTCTGACCATCCATTATAGACGCCAGGTCACTGTCACAATCTTATTTTAGTTTTTTGCATAGTGTTAGTTACTACTTATTTTTTATTTTCATTCATTGCCTGTCATCCTCCATTAGAACAGACCCCATGAGTGCAGGGAGTTTGTTTACCTTCTCACATGTGTAACCTAGACACACCCTAGCATATCACAGTGCTCAGTAAATGAACTCAGGAGACATGAAATCTGGAGATGACAGAATTGAGAGAACAGAGAAAATGAAGGAGAGAAAAATCATCAGAGCATAATTCAATAATGGAAAGGTTATAAATTTCTAGAATGATGGGGTCCACTGAGGTAATAGCACAATGGGGAAAAAAATCATACAAAAGCATATCTAGAAATTTAAGAGTAAGAACACAGGTAAGACCCTATGAGCTTCCAGAAAGAAAACACAGTCCACATACAAAGGATTGAGAATCAGAGTGCCAGAAGAATTTTCAATAGCAACAATGGAAGCTGGAAGACAGCAGAACAAAGCCTTTGAAATGCTGGAGGATAATTATTTGCAACCAAGAATCCTACTTAATGAATCCATCAAATAGTGTGAAGGAAGGAGAAACACTGCCACATCTTAATCTCAAAAATTCCACTTCCATGCATCATCTCTCAGGAAGATACTGGATGATGTTTCGCCAAAATAAATTAAGAAAAGGGAAAACGGGATAAAGAAATAGAACTAGTCCAGGATTCCCCGTATGATGGCAACAGGAGATCCCGGAAGCTGCACACACAAGGGAGCAACTGTTCTAACTGCAGGTCACAAGGCCTCGGGAGAGATGCATCAAGGAGACAAACTGCTAAGAGCACCTGATGAGTCAGCCTTGTGAGAGATTTGGACAACTGGTGGAGTCTGTGGTTCAATTGGAAAGGATGTTGGAAATAAAGCAAAGTGGGGGGCAAGTACTACCTCCAGGGAAGATAAAGTTGTATAGAAAGGAAAAGTGATCAGTTTACCACATGGCTCAGGTACACATAGCTTTTAGACAGACAGGTCAGTGGACATAGTGTATCCAACCGATGTTAGGACCACACTGAAGGGCAGTGGGTGGGAAGAGTGTGTGTGTGCGGCATGGAGAAAGACAGGGGGAACACAGCTAAATTGTCCTTCTCCACAGTGGGAAATCAGAGTGGAAAGCCCCAAACTCTTGTTATTCAGAAAAGATGAAAGTAAATACCCAAACAGTCTGCTAAAAAAGATGAACTGGGCACCTGGGGAGAGCAATGAATGGGACTGCTCTTTTTCTCTTGATAGGCACTGAGGATAGATTTGACCATACGTGCAGGTTCATAAAAAAACTTTCAAAATATGGATACAAAAAGGAAAAAGGTTCAAAACAAATGTTGAATAAATCTTGGTGGTAACTTTCTGTACCAAGGTGGTATCATAAAGTATGTATTTTTAAAATTATTTTGTTAGGCTATTTTATGTATAAACATTTATCTTCTATAGTTTATTTTGGAAATATGATACTCATAAAACTCACTAAGCAGCAATGACCTGAAAGTACTAATATTTTGTTCAAATGGAAATATCCCCTATTTAATAATTAACTTTTCATTATAGAACATTTCATAAATCTTGTTATATAAAAATTGTTCCCAAGAAGGAATAAAAGGCATTTTGAGAATTATGAATCTATTCCATAAGTAAAAGATTAGTAGAATATAACTTTAGGTAACAATTCACATCAACTGACAAAATTAATTTAAATTTTCAATATGCTAGTAATTACTCAGGATTCAAATGTGAACTGACATTATAATGGATAATTCATGTCCTATTTCTAATGACATGTATTTTGCTTCTATGTATTTAAAAGGAAAAAATTAAAAGTCAAAAGGGAAAATATACATGATAATTGAGACACATTTTGCATATATGGACTTGGGAAGATAAAATTTAAAAATAAGGGAAAACATAAATGAGTCCATAAATGAGAGTACAGGGAGGAAATACGTTCGTTCTTTGCCACTACTATAATCTTAGAGGTACTTGGTGTAATCCTTCCTATCTTTAATATAGCAATTAAAAAAAAAATCTGAAGAAAGAGACAAGGAACGGTCAGAGTTGAATGGGTCAGGAAGCAGGACTGAATCTCTTGAGGTGGTATTTCCTGCTTATTTTCTAAGGAAGGACTATGGGGGTGTGGTGCTGGGTGTCACTTCTTACAGGAGCCCCATCACATGCTCCATAGAGGCTGGGTCTCACCTTGGGGCCACCACTGCAGGAGAGGAAGGCCAAGGTGAAGCCTCAGTGTTGGCTGGTCCATGTCCCATAGAGAGCTTCTCTGGGGATTTTCAGAAATGACAGCATGTGTGTAAACAGTTGCCAAAAAGCCAAGTTGCAGAGTTCTAAAAGACCCAGAAGTGAGAGAGAGAGAAACCCTGGGCTCTTTTCTGACCATCCATTATAGACACCAGGGGACCCCTTTGCAGCCATAGAATAAGACAGTTTGATGATATCTGAGTTATAACAAAATACATAAAACCCAGGCTGTTCATTCAACAACTTTTTATTGAGCACCTACTCTGTGCCCAGCACTGCACTAGGTGCCATGGAGAATACAAGACAAGTATAAGATATGGTACCTGCCCTCAAGGAGCTTACAAAACTAGAGGCAGAAATCAGATGGCTGTGTAACTCAGGCAGCATGTGATATATACAAAGAGTACAACTTCAATGTGGTGGCCAAGAGCCCACCCGCCAAGATTCCCAGCGGTTGGGCACAGTCTCTCAGAGTGGCAGAGAGGATAAGCAGGGGACTAGCAGAGGGCCTGCAACGGGTAAACACAAAGGCCTGAGGTAATCTGGTTGAAGCAGGGCGCATGTTAGACCACGGGCACCAGGGGAGCCCAGACACAGAGGCTGGGACTTGGGTTGGGCCTGTGGGCAAAGATGCTTTAACGCCGCTCTTGACACGAAGATCTGGTGGCCTCGTTGTGGATTCCTGCTGCCTTCCTTCCATCTCCCCACACAGCCTGTCTGGTTTTGCCCTCCCCAGTCCCTCTCTTAGGAAAACAGACCCCAGATGTTGAGTAGGGCCAGTGACAGAAATTTATTACCCTGCTGGAGAAATCCACCAAAGCTTCTAAGGCAGGGGAGGCTCTGCTTTACTGGACAATTGCCCTGGTGTTTTTAGATGGACTGATCAAGAGCAGGAGATTCTGGATTCTTTTGAAAAACTCCTCTCCCAAGGCCCAACCCAGAGATCATTTACTGATCACTGGTCACAATGTTACTCCAAAGCCACAAGTATCTACATCCTTCCCCTAAGACCAGAGATATCACCTCCTTAGCGGAAACCTCCTGTGCCCAGCCCCGGTCTGGAAGCATGGACTCCATTCCAGACCTCCCGAGATGACATCCACTGGCACTCCAAGGGGCTTATTTAAAGGGCCTCAGTGAATTTTTGTTGTCTGTTTTCAGCATTTTCCTGTATGTTCAATGTTTTTTAAAGTGTCAGAGAAGGTAGGGAGCAGAGTGGATTTGGGCAAGGGGGAAGCTATGGGATCCAAGGACAGCGAAGCAGCTTTGACTTGTAAGTCAATGGTGTTTCCAAGAACAGTCGGCATGACATGCCATACTGGGCAAGGAAATCCTGCCTTGCCTCTTACTCAATAAAAAGAGTGCAGAGCTGGGTCAAAGGCAGTAGGCAGGAGGAGGAGGAGCCCTCATGGACTTCAGGGTCAGAAATTGGCACAGGAACTTCAGGAGGCCCGACTACAGCAGTACCTATGGAGTGACAGCACTGAGGGCCCCCGGGGCCACAGCCACGAGGAGGGGGAGGCAGCACACATGGGGTCCCTCCTCTCTGCTGCTCCAAGGGCTCTGGTCTGGTGCCTCCAAGACCCCATCACAGGGTTCTCTGGAATTCCAGAGAAATGAAGATTGGATGGGTCTGGGGCTGGCAGCAGGGGCTTGGGCTCACGGTCTCAGCAGGAGGCGTGTTCCTGGCCACTTCAGCCACAGGAAGGGGACGAGGCGCCGAGTGAAGGTGGCAGTGAAGGTGTAGATAAGTTCTTGTGACTCCGCGTTGGTGAAGGTCACGGTGCCCCCCTCATAATCCAGGGCAATGCCTACTCTCCGGGGCCGCAGCACCGGGAAGAGCTCGGCCTCGGGGCTGGTGTTGGCCCAGATGCCTGCTGAGGAGAGGCGCAGCGCCCACACCCCGTCCTCTGGCCGCAGGGAGAGGTCTCCCTTCCTCTTCACAGAGTCTCTGGCCACCCCCACCATGCAGCTTTCCAGAACTTCCTCCTCCTCCTCCTCCTCCTCTTCCTCTTCGTCCCCCAATGACTCCTCGTCCTCATCTGTTTCCCAGTCCTCATACCCATCCCCGTAGCCGGCCTCCTCTTCCTCCTCCTCCTCTTCCCCCTCTTCCTCCTCGTCCCCCTCCTCTTCATCCTCAGACCAGCCCTCCCTCTCCACCTCCACCTCCCAGTAGACCTTGCCCCAGGTGAAGCCCTTACTGCCCAGCACCCCCGGCTCACAGTCAAACTGCTGGGGGTGCAGGTATGCACCCTGGTACAGGCTGCTGTAGGTCACGCACTTCCAATCCTCTGAAAGCTGCAGGTACCCACTGGCTGACTGTGGGTCCAAGGTGACACTCACTGTGGGGACCAAGGAAGAAGTAACAGTGTCACTGGTGGGCTGGGAGGGAGCCAGCAGGCTCCATGGTGTCCATGACAGGGCAGCCACACTGCACAATTCAAGGGTAGGCAGGAATTGTGCCCCTCAGGAGTAGGCAGTGTATAACCTGATGATGGGGCTGGGAAGGAGCATAGTAGTGGGGCCTGGGGCAGAGATGGCGTCTGTCAAGAAACTCAGTCATAGGAAAAGCACTGGTGGTGGGACCTGTGGGGACTGACTCAATGAACTGAGCACAGGTCAGACTACCAAGAAGACACCACTACTGCAGACCAGAGTACTGGACTAGTCAGAAAATGCAACGGGGCTTTATAGACTTGCAGCTGGTAACTTCTGTTGTGTAAAAGAACTGGCTCCTGGGGGCAGGGCATAGTCAGAACCTCCATGGGGAGGGTATTCTTTATTTGAGGTAAATCTGGGAATAACCCTTTGGACACTCACCTGTTTTATATTCCAAGTCTCTCAGCAGCTTCCCTGGGGAGAAGAAAAGGACAGCAATGAACACATTTATGGGCCCATGTCTTACTCAGATGGTACTTATTTCCTGACAGGGCTCCATCCCTGAGATTCCAAGAAGAAGAGAGAAAACAATCATGACTCTGTCAGAGGAGTGTGGCCAGAGAAGAAGACCACAGGAGCCAGGCACCCTCTCTCACAGTGGAACCCCAGCTCCTGACCCCTGCCCCAATGCTCTCACCAACCCTTACCTTGGAATTCTCTCAGGCCTCTTTGCAGAGACATAAGTTTATCTGAGAATTCTCCTGTCCTTTTTTTAACTACCCGAGCAATGGGTTTCCCAATCCAGAACTTCTTCCGTGGATACCTGAGAAGATGACAGATGTAACCTGTTACTACTTATTCTTCTGGTATTCCTCTCGATTCTCATGACAACTATGAAGGGAGAGGAAATGATTATCCCCAATCAAGACAGAAAATAGACACTGAGTGAACTGCCCAAGGCTGAGTCAGGACTTATGACCATCAGCAGATTCAACATACAGAGTGCTTTTGTCTACTAAGCCATGTCCCTATCCTTATCACCCAGTCCCATCGCAGACAAGCAGAGTGCACCAAGGAGCTGGGATTACAGAGAACTTGGTCTGGTAGAGAGTGAGTCTCCAGATCTCAAGGAGGGAAAGTGATCAGGATGAACCACGGGAAGGGGCACCTCTGGCATCAATCACTCCCCACTGCTTCAAATGGATCGTGTCAAGGAAAAGGGGTGGGGATACAGCCACAGGAGAATGAGGTACACCGTGGAAAGGAAGCTCTTTTACCTGTTTAAGAAGTCTCTGGTGTCCTGAAAGGGAAGAAAGTACAAGTATAAATGTGAATCAATGAAGACTTCCTTCGTGTGCACCAACACTATCAGACACGAGGGGCCCCAACGCACAAAACGAATGAGACCCCTTCCTGATGGACCTGACATTCAGGTGGCAGCCCTGGAGAAAACAAGAAAGCAAACAAAATAATCACAAGGACAGAGCAAATCGGGGGGTGGGGTGGTCAGGGGATGATGACAGGGCCATCTTCTCTGAGGTGATGACATGTGTGCTGAGATTTGAAAAAGCAGGTAGTGCTGGCCAGTTGAAGAATGGGAAGAAGGCAAGATGGGAAAGGGCTGGCAAAGGAGGCAGAGGGGCAGATCATGCAGGGCTGGATAGGCCTCGTAAGAAGTTTCAACTTTTTTCCATGTATAGATGAAAGGAGAGCATCAAGTAGGGAAGTGGTATGTTCTCTGCTATACAGCTGGCTGAAACTGCTAAGCTTCCTCCAGAATCCACTCTCCTTTTCTTTTTAATGAAAGAACCCCTGGAGTTACAGCTGGGCAAGTGGCCACCCAGCAAAACACTACATTTCCCAGATTCCCTTTTAACCAGGCCTGGTCATATGACTAAGTTCCAGCCAATGGGAAGTGAAAGGAAGTAATGACTATAGCTCTTGAGTACCATCCTTTAAAAAAAGTAAAGTGCTTTCTACTTCCTTTTTCCTTGGCTAAATTTTGAATATGGTGGTGGTGAGCCCAACTTTCATTGCAGAGCTGAGGACAAAGTCCCTTGAAGTTACTGGAACAACCAGATTCACGTTAACCCAGTTCCCTGGAAGACCTCATAGACAGCTCTAGACTCCTCGCCTCTGAACTGTTACTGAAAGAGAAACTTGTGTTTGAGTCACTGCACTTGAATTTTGACACAGCAGCTAGCCAAAATCCTCAGTAATCAAACACTTAGCTGTCCTGTAGAGCATGGATTAAGGGAGGCAACAGGAAGGCGGTCTGGAGGCTGTTGCTGTACACCAGGCAATGTCCTCAACAAGGGCAGTGGCTTTGGCGACGGAGAAGCTGCCCACTGCAGGCATGTTTGAGACAGACTCCACGGGGCAAACTGGTGAAGGACAATCAAGGACAGACCTGGCTTCCGCAGGTGGGGCCATCTGGTGACAGGACAGGGTGGAATGGGAATGCGGTTTTTGTGAGATTCTGGTCATTTCCCCTTTGTGAGTCTAAAGCACCATAATACTCTACAGGAATTTTTGCCTTCCTTTCACTCATTCCACAGATATTCATTAAGTGCTTCCTGTGCAACAGGCACTGCTCTAGAAGCTTGGGATAGAGCAGTTAAAAAGAGACACAAATCCCTAGCATGTTAAGAGCTGACATTTTCTCGGGGGAGGTAGACAGTAAGCAATCAATGTAACGGACACATCACATTCTGTAAATGAGGAGGGCCTCGGGAAAAAGACTACAGCAGAGTGGAAGGGGACGGCGTGAGGAGGGGGGCAGTGAGCCTCCTGGGGAGAGTCGGATTTGGGGAATAAATGGTATCACCCAATCGTGGCTGCTGATGAGTTTCAGAAAGTCTCAGAGAGAACAGGAGGCTCTGCCCCTGGGAAGGCCATGCAGGAGGGCACAGCTACACCCCGCCCCCACTGTGACACAGCTGCCCAGGTTCTGGCAAGTCCTTTAATCTGCCCCTTAGGACAGGTAAGTCCGAGTCAGCTCCAGAGGAGGGGGCAACAAATCTGGAACTATGTCAGCCAACAGTCTGCAGAGATGCAGCAGGAGAGGGTGAATAAATGGGTGGTGGGTGTTGTGTGGGATGGAGGCCAAGAGGGCATGTTCCATGACATGGAAGTTTCTAGAAGAGCAGAAAGGGAAAAGGGTTAAAGCTTTTGAGTGGCCCAAAGTGGGTGGGACCCAGAGACCAGCACAGGAACCCTTCTCCCAGAGGTCACAGATGGGGGAAACTGAGCCCCACAGCCACCTGCAGCCTCTAGGGGGAAGCAGCCTGCCCAAGGCTCTCGGGGGACCTCCCACCAGGACTCCTAGGGCTGTTGTGAAACAGGCAGTCAGAGCAGAGAGGCTGGAGCTACGTATCACCGCTCTCCTCCTGGGACAGGGCTGGGTATCAGCAGAGCACTCACAAAGGCTTCATGGGTGTGGGCAGTGGCCAATGGTGGAAGAGGCCAAGGTGCAGTCCTGCCACCCGACCCTGCAAGATCCATCCAGGCTGAACCAGGCAGCTACCAGAGTCCACCTGTCCTCTTCCATTCCATCCCCTTTGCTTTCTTCATGACATTCCCAGGCCGGAGCTCTTTCTTTTCCTACCACCTTTGTCAAAGGTCTCCGATTTACACCTTCTGTCCTGCTTCTCCCTATTACAAGTATTTCTCTACCAGACTGTTGGATCAGGGCCCCTATCTTAACAGGAGCTCATTCTTACTGTCTATTCACAGTTGAATAATCTCTGGGAAAATATTAGTAAGAATTAAGGAGCTGGCCATGCAGTTCCCCTGCAGCAAAATCAAACCCAAACAAACACGTGGACAAAACCCACCAACACCAGCATTTCATGTACTGGCATTAAGCAGACACCCACTGTCTCCCCCACTCCAGGGATGAATGTCTTCCATGAGCAGTCTCAGAGGCACTGAGGGCCGGGACTCTGCTGGCCCACACAGCTCCTTTGGGTGGACTGGGAGAGGCTCCCCTCTAGGCAAACACAACTGGACTTCCGCCCCTACCAACACCTCAGCCATGGCCCTCTCTGTTCTACCAGGTGCACATACACATGGTGGTGGCCATGGGAAAAGAAGCGATGTGTGTCTCTGAAGGGGCAGCTGCAGGGGAAGAGGGAGAGGGAAGAGGCAGCAAGTCACCCAAGGAGTCTGACAGAGAAATTGGAGGGATCAGAATGACATCTGGAGGGAAGGGGGAGCCAGAGAGACATTTTGAACAAAATGAGAGAAAAGAACAAGAGCACAGAGGCCTGGGAGTGGAGCTCTGACTCAATTCCTGGCCTACCCCATGGCCTGGCACAGACTGCTTCCACTCCCCGGCCCTCAGTGACTTCACTGGTGGGGAGACTAAACTGGAAGAGTTTTAAATACCTGCCAGCCCTGAGTCGTGAGTCTGCATCCACAATGAAAGAGAGGCAGGCTGAGGCCATCTCTTTACAAGCCCTGTGCTGGCACATGCACCTGAGACCTTGCCTTGCCCCCTCTCCCTGGCTATCAATCTGCCCTGCCACCAGCCAGGGACAGCATTTACCTAGAGATCGTGGGTGGTTCCATGGCTGACAGACAGGCCCAGCCACCCAAATCTTGCATGGGAGGCTGTCACATAGGTCTTTTCCTGGCAAAGACAGAGCATGTCCCCTCCAAAGGCTGCTGAGCCCGGTTCAGGATGGTATCACCCCCCGAGCAGGAAGGGGTTGTGGTGTCATTTCAACTTGGTGACCTGCCCTCCAGTCCAAGACTCTCCCTCTCTCAGAATCAAAGTTGCTCCCACTGGGAAGCGTTCCAGAGGCACCCTGCCTGCTCTCCAACTTTTCCTATGAGTGTGAATCCACGGTTCCAGAGGAAACCTTAACTGTCTCTGTCTCCCTTCCCCTGCTACCCTTCTCTTTCAGACCATCCACGTCCTTGAGAGAGGCTGCCATTCAGCCCTCCCTCAGCCACCCCCAACCACTTCGGGCTTCTTCATCTCCAGAACCATAACCTGGACAAGTGTCTGCCAGTCACTTGTCAGAAAACGACTCACGATGACAGCAATGAGGATGGAGGATAGCAATGAAAATATTAATCACCTTCCCTTCCTTTCTACAGCACTTCTTACTTTCTTTAAACATTATTCTGGTAGAAAATTTACTCTGTGAAGTGACAGCATGCCAGTCATCTCATTTTAAGCTCGTGCAACTGCTGGATAAGTGAGGTGGCTAAGGATTATCATCCCCATGTGGCAGATTGGAAGATTGAGGCCCTGAGAGGGAGCAACTCTCTCCAAATCCCAGAGTCCTACCATCCTGTGTCCCAGCACCCTGCCTGGGGGGAGTGTCTCTCACCTGCATGAGCTCTGCAGCCGGCTGATGTGCCTTGCCCTCCAGCTTGGAGATGGCCAGCGCCAGCCGGGCAAGCTCCCCGATGCCCCTGGTCTTATACTTCTCCCTGCCCTCTGTGAGCTCCTGCTCCAGCCTGGCCAGCTGGTCCAGCAGGTGCTGCTCCCGCTCCCTCAGGAACTGGTGGCCCTGCTCAAATTCAGCCACGATGTACTGCCTCTGGTCCTGAAGCTTCTTCTGCAGGGGGAAGGGGAGAGCGGTGATGCCTCTGCCTTAGGGTAGAGAATCCCTCCAAGATATGGCGTTAAGAGGCGCATAGGCTGGCTTTTCTCCCCTAGCCACCCCACTTAGTGAATTCTACAGTGTTCAGGCTGGGAGGGGCTTGGAGCACTCCTGGGTCAACCTCCTGTCACAGAAGACATGGTAAATGAATCAGTTCAGTTCCCTCAGCGACTGTGGAATTGGAACCCTAACTCTGCCTGACTCAACAGTCCATTATCTGTTGTAGGTAAACCAGTATGTTCAGGGCCCTTTAAGCCAGCATGCTTTCCTCTCCTGGACACCAACTTCAGTATGTCACCTCCTCCAGGATGCTTTACTTGATTAATTTCATCCAATCCTGATCAATCCTCCCTTCAGCACCCCCTATTATGTATAACATCTGTGTGCTCCCCCTCCCTGCCATGTAGGACCACATCCTGTTCCCTCAGTGAAACTGTGAAATGTCTGTGCTCAGGAACCATGTCCTTTCCTGCCTCGGATCTCCTCACTGAGTCCATGCTGGAGTCTGACCAGTGTCTCGACCCCCTGTTGACTGCTATTGACTTGTTGACCTGTAGGGGCCCACGCACAGCAAGGCCCTCCTTGAACTTGGGCCAATTCTTGCTTCATTCTCCCTCTCCTAGGGCCCAGTCACTCACTGCTGGGCTCCACTTCCCTGGCACAGACTTTACTCAGAAAACCGGAACCTTCCTCCCAGCTTTCCCCTCTGACCCCATCTCTGATGAAGCTCACTTCACAGACTTTGCATCCTGCTCACACAACTTTGCATCCTGCTGCTCCTAGGTCCCTTCTCCCAGCTGCCTGCCCTTGTCCACTTTCAGCCGCTCGATGTTCTCTACCAGGCTGGCCAGCTGCCACACAGGTCGGATATTTTCTTATTCTCCCAGCTGCCTGCCCTTGTCCACTTTCAGCCGCTCGATGTTCTCTACCAGGCTGGCCAGCTGCCACACAGGTCGGATATTTTCTTTTTTAACAGGGTGCTGCCTTTTCTCTAACCGCTGGCAGCGGGGCAGACCTCACTAGACACAATGTCATCACAGTGGGTAAGGCCCTCAGCCCTCTCCTCAGTTCCTATCCTGGAGCAACTGTCCTTCTGCTCAGTGCTCTGGCTCCCCTATACTCAGAAATAGCACCTTTCTCCCTCTCTTTGAAAGAAGGCCGAAGCCAGGCCCTCCTCAGCAACCTCGACTCTGGCTGTCCCTGGCTGAACAGCAGCAGCTGCCAGACATAGCTTTGCAGCTGAGGTGAGCCACAGAAGAAAGACGACCTTAGCTGATGTCTGGGTGACCAACTCACTGATCAGATGAGGAGAATATGCCCAAAGCCTCAGACTTCAGACTGACAGGGCTGGGCTAAAACCCAGGTCTCCCAGTCACCGGTCCATGCTCGCTCTCCAGGTGTGCTGCCTCCTAGCAAGAACCCAGCTGCGTCTCTCCTTCCCAGGACTCCCTGTTCCGTGGTGGCCCAATGCATTGGGGCTTTCTCTTAACAGCCTCACTTACCAGCAGAGCCAGGATATCAGCTTCTCCTTTTGCCTGAAAGCCCTGTATTTTGTCTCTGTCTCTCCTTAGGATACTCAGGTGGTTCAGGATTTTTTCCTGTAAAAAGACAAGCAGTGGGGACAGGTGGGCGGTCTGGGCTGGGGCCAGAAGGTGGACTCAGGCTGAGTCCTGGGCCAGCAAGAAGCCTGCAGAGGGGTCTTAGTCAGGCCTCACCTCCGGACGGGCTGCAGAATGGAACATCCCAAGGCGGGTGGCAGAGCACCCTCTGGGGGCAGGAGGGCTTACCCTGTGGGGCTGGGCAGCCTTCTCCATGAGGACAGCAGTGTGGGGCCTGTGCTCCCGAGACTCCCGGCACATCACGCACAGCAGCTTCCCGTCATCCTCACAGTAGTAATGTAGCTTCTCCTGGTGCCGCTCACACAACTTTGCATCCTGCTGCTCCTGGGTCCCTTCTCCCAGCTGCCTGCCCTTGTCCACTTTCAGCCGCTCGATGTTCTCTACCAGGCTGGCCAGCTGCCACACAGGTCGGATATTTTCTTATTCTCCCAGCTGCCTGCCCTTGTCCACTTTCAGCCGCTCGATGTTCTCTACCAGGCTGGCCAGCTGCCACACAGGTCGGATATTTTCTTTTTTAAAAGGCTTCTTGCAGAGGGGACAGACAGGGCGACCCCCTGAGATGGGGCGCACATCAGTGGTACAGCTGCGGCAGAAGACATGGCCACAGTCAATAGTCACAGGGTCCCGCAGGTAATCGAGGCAGATGGAGCAGGTCACCTCTTCCTCCAGGCTCCTCAGTGGGGCTGATGTGGCCATGGTGTCCTCGGCTCACAGGAGTCTCTATTCATTCGTGGGGGCTTCTCCTCCTTGGAGACCAGACATGGAGTCAAGAGCTGGTACAGCAGAGGGGCAGAGATGGCAGCCTTGCACAGAGCTGCAAGCCCCAGCAGTCAGTCAGGACACTCACTGGCTCCTACACGGCTTGTACAGTATCAGAGCAAAAGGACTTTTCCAATCATCTAGTCTAACCCCCTCATTTTACAGATGAGGAAACTGAGGCCCAGAGAGGGTAGTTTGGTAGACTGGAGAGCAGAGCTGTCATGAGCCCATACCGTGCTGCTGGGAAACTGCTCTAATATACCAATTATGAAGAATAAGCCACTGGAAAACTATCATGATAAATATAGAAACCTACAATGTCTACTGTGCACATGGTGCTCCCTGGCTGGGGCTGGGGATAAACTGAGTCAAGAGACTCCTTCTGCTTGCTCCTCCAGGTTTCAGGTTTCAAGGACTAAGTTCCCCCAGGTTCTCTACCATGACTCCCAAAGCATCAAGAATCTGAGCTCTAGTGTCCCCCCTAAAGATGTGTCCTTGGGGTGTGCTCTGGTCTGGGTCTGGGTCTGGGTCCCTTCAAAAGAGCTGGCATCCTCCCAGACTCAGCATGCTGGCAGAGCACAGCGGGGTCACACTGGGCTCATTCTCACCTGTGATTTGCCCCCGAGTTGGCCTGGCTGCTCTGCTGATAACAAGGGTGGACTGTCCTAGCTAAGCTCACAAAGGAAACCAATACAGGAGGAATCCTCAGGTGGCTGTGACCGTGAGGGTTTTACCTTGAAGGCTTTACCCTTGGAAGAAGCATGGCAGCTGAGCACAGAGAGGGCTTTAGTCCTGTTTACCTTTGCAGCCCTGGCCCACTTCTTGTCTGAGGTTAGGAGCCTCAGCACAGCTGACTGAACAGCTGCCTCCTGTCCCAATTCTGTGTGACAAGAGAGAACTCATTTAATTACTCTGGGCCTCAGTTTATCCATCCATAAAATAGGGAGAATGATACTTACCTCCAAGGGTTTCTAAGTGGCCTGAGTGGATGAATTATGTTGCAAGTACAAAGCATAAGCACAGTACAGAGTGGGAACTCTAGGCGAGAGCCCAGAACTCTACGCTCCCAAATCCAGTGTGTGTTCAAGCACAAAGACGGCAAGAGCAGAAATATAAAGTAGTAGCAAGAGAGGAAGAGAGGATGAACCAGCTACAGTGACATGCATTCCTGAGCTAAACAAGAGCCTCGTGGGGTGGGGATTGGGGAATTTGCTCTGCTATAGATCCATGGAAGGCAACTGGAGTGGTTGCTGTTAAGACAGCCAGCAGACAGGGCACACAGGTAACCATGAGGCTGGAATGAAGCACTTGGAATCACAGGCAAACCAATACTATGACTGATTATGTGCAGTGCAAGTCTATCACAACGGAGCTCAGTGGCCTTCAAGTTTTTTCACAGTAGCGACATGAATGCGTGAAATAACCCCCCAGGCTTGAAAAGCCAAAGAGAAAAACAAAATAGTAATGTAAGGTCTACTCCTTGAGGACATAATGCAATAATATATTAAAGATATTTTATACATGGAAGTACTGTACAATGTAAGGGATTATTATACTACTGACAATAAATTCCAACCAGAAGCTCCAACAGATTTAGAGGTGGGTGACTTTAAGATGCAATGAATGTGAAGAAGGGTACATACAAAGCTCAAATTAAAGAATTATGGAATTCAACTGGCATATAAAGGGAATGAAGTTTTTGGAATGTTAGCAAGGCTGGTAAAAATCCCATGAATTGCCTGGTCCAATTCCCTGATGCAGTAGGCCTGACCCCGCACTTGCATTTGTAACCACCGCAAATGGTTTGGGAAGAGATAAGAGGCCTGGTGCTGGTGATCCCTGTGGGCTCTGCAGGTATTTACCAAGGCAGGTATTTACCACTCTGTTGAGTGGCTTGGAAGTTTAAAAGCTGATGTTATGTTTATTTTCTTGTGGGGGTGGCATGTCTATCTTTGGGGTAGGAATTGAATCCTGCTACAACTTACTGGAAGAGTACAAGAACTACCAAGAGCTCAACTACTGCTCCCTATCCACAAAAACTTGACATTATCAAGAGCCCTCATCACTTAGAGCAGGTGATCTAACCCAGGCTCTCCACACTGGGATTTGCTGGATCTTTAAAACCTCTTCCCTGAATGAAAATGACTGCATATGTACTAGATTAATAAAATTGTCTAGGGATTACAGAAGAACCCCAGCAAGTAAGTGTAGCAGGGATAAAAGAATTAGAAAAACACTGTTTTGTAACCCCCATTATACTAAGACAAGGATTATCATAGATGCTTAAACCATGAGGTGAAAGGTATTAGGGGACAAGGTAAGTCCCATGGTGCCAAAGTACCACCTAATGGATTACTTCCTAGCAGACTTGATATGGGAGAGACCTGGTGATCACTGTAACCAGTGACCATGCCCAGCACTGCTAACAGAGGGACAAACTGTTTCCAGGTACAGTGCCATATGAATTATACAGCATCATCTTTGAAGTTACCCTGCCAAAAATATTTGACCTGAATGGATCTAATCAAGCTTTTAGACCTAACTTCCAGTTTACAGAAAACATGAGGGACAGAGGAATGAGCTAACCTACACCATAAGGAAACATGCAGATAAACCCAGAATATGGGACATTCTACAGGACAACTGACCAAGTCTTTAGGGAAGTCAGTGTCATAAAAATTACTGCTTTTAATTTAAAAAGACTAAAGAAGAGTAATAACCAAATGTAACCACCTTGATCGGTTCCTGGCTTTTTAAAAAAGCTATAAAAATAGTTCAGGGACAATTAGAGGAAATTGGACAAAAGACTGGTGTCAAATCGTATTAAAAACTATTATTAATTTTTTAAATGGTATTGACTGATGAGACTGTCTATAGTTTTAGGCAACGCATGCTGCAGAGTATTCAGGGCTGTATGACTACAACTTACTTTTAAATGGTTCAACCAAACAAAAGGAAAAGGAAAATTTTCGGAGAACAAGGACAGTTGTCTATGAGATAGGAGATTCTATGAGATACAGTTTTCTGCCATTCTTTAAGTAATCTGTACAAGGGTCTGTAACTACCAAAGATGTTAAAGGCCACTAATAGAGAGCACAGTACTTGACACCTTGTAGAAGCTCATATGTGTTGAACAAACTGATTAAGAGGAACTGAAGGGAACGCTAATCGTTAAGAACCATTTTTGTAAGTCTGCCCTAACCAGACAAAACAGTGTGTTTCTATGTTCAATTCTATTGCCTGGTTATACAGACTCCACCTTGAACATATGGGCACATGTCACAGGACAGCTTTACTGTGGCACTGCTGAAATGCATCCAAGACCTGAGGTGTAAATCTGTGGGGTGACCAATCCCTGTTCAGGTCTGGGTTTTATAACCCAAAAGCCGGCTGACTAACAATTTCTTGGTGACAGTAATTACTTAGGACCTACTTTCTCTGCCACTTACACATCTTGTCTTATTTAACGCCCAAGTACTCTTCTGAGGAAACAGAGGTGGAGGCTCAGAAGCTTGGCGAGGGTAAGCAAGTTGCCCAAGCGCTGTGGCTAGGATGCAGGGTCTGGTGCTGATGGCCTGGGTCACCCTGCGACACTCTCGGCCCTACCCAGGCAAACTGTAAAGCAAGGTTTAATACCACCTGCTTTGTCAGCAAGCTCGGTTGAGGTCATCTACATGAAGGGCTCTGGGAGCTGCAGAGTGCTGACAGAAGGGGCCTGCATTCCTGCTGATACTGATTGACGGCACCCAACCTCAGATGTGCCAGGAAATGGGGTTCAAGTAGGAGAGACATGGGCAGACCAGAACAACTGCTCAGCACCCCACACGGAGTCCTTCCCAATCTAACACACAGCTGAACAAAGCCTCCCCCTACCTTCCTGCACTCCCCTATGACTCTGCCCTTCCTATCAGGTATGCCTCCAGCATGTTCTGATGATATTAACAGGCTTCTACAATAAGGCTAGAACTGTTATTCTCCTCTCCACTCCTGGCTCTGGGGCAGACAAAAATCCTAGACAGCCAGAGCTAGAAAATATCGTAGAGATAATACAGTCCACCCCTGTTCCCATTACCCAAATAAGAATTCTGAAACCCAAGAAGGCATTCAATACATGAATTACCAGAGGCCACACATCCCTCCTCCAGGGCAGGCAGGTTTTCTGTCCCTTCAATAAACCAGAAGCTGGTTATGATTCTATAGAACCAAGTATAAACTGAAGACACTCCCTACCCTTCCAAGTTCCCTTCCCCTCAATCCACCCCTCCCGTACAACTCTCTAGATCTCATAAAACACGTACTTGCACATGCCAACAGACAGGCCAGGTAATTTCTGGCAGGGCATTTCAGGATGGGGATGCCATGCACAATTCTTGTCTGAGAGAATCACTGTGAGCTCCAAGAACTGGCCGAGGCATTGCTGTCAACATGCACACCTTGTTGCCCGGCACATACATGGCTCACCGCTCCCCCTACCCCGGCATAGTTGCAGGATCAGAACTCTGGCCCCTCATTTCTCCACAGCTACCAGCTGCTGCCCCCACAAGTGATAAACTCTCCCTCAACTTTCTGTGGCTTCAGCAGCCCCCACCTTCTTCCCTGCCTCCTGCTGCCCTGGGCTTCTAGGTGTCACAGAAAGGGACCCCAGACACTGAATCCCAGCTGTGGACTCCAAAGCCCAGAGAAGTGAGTGGAGGGCCTGGATTTGCAAATTGGCCTCCAGGCTGCTTCTCAAACCCACGCTTCAAGCTCCAAACAAGAGCCTCTTCTTCCTTGTAATTCAAAGCCCTTAACGGCAGTCTCCATTCCCTGTAGGATCCCCATTTAAGGACTCCATTTCTTAATCCAAAATAAGTAAATTCTCCCAGAAGTACACTTCTGTGAAACCTTTACAAACCTGGAGAAGACCTAAATCAGGGCAAAAAGCAAGTGATTTGGATCTTACTAGAGCTGTTGTTGCACCCCTCCTGAGGACACCGAAGGCTTGGACTCCCCAGATTTTACAGCCCTGAAGTGGCTGTGGGCTGGGCACCAGGCAGTCCCAGGAGATCCCAGCTCTGTGGGCGGTGTGTTCCTGAGGTCGCACAGCATTACTTTTCCCCCACACAGCCAAGTGTCAAAGGTGCTCTGAAGCATAGTGCAGGCCACGCAAAGCACTGGGTCCAGAGGGAGACATGCTCTAAGCAGTGGAAATCCCCACAGGGCTCAGAGGGATATGGAGGTAGCAGCCAACTGGGGGTGGGGGAGTGGCAAGGCTCTGAAATGCTGCTGAGGGTTTTAAGTGGCAGGGTGTCATAAGTCATTCAACAGTTAATAGATATTTATTGGGGGCCTATTATGTGCCAGGCACTAAGCATACAGCAGGGAACAGAAATGTCCACGTCCTTGCCCTCCCAGAACTTACCTTTAGTAACATAACTGAGTGATCCTTTAGAAGCTGAAATCAGAGCTAACTGTAGGGATTACACAACCCTCAAGGTTTTCTGATTTACTTAAACCTCTCTCTTTTGCTCAGTGTTCCAGCCACTGAAGCCATCCTCTGGTCCCTCAAACACCCCCTGCCCCTAGTTAAAAATTCAAGTATGCTCAGTAACCACCCCTGTTAAAATCCCTTAATGGCTTCCAGTACCCACAGATAAAGTCAGAACTCCTTCCCCTGCTCTGTGAGGCCCCAGATAATCTAGGCCCAAAACTTGTCTTCAGGTTCATTTCTTGCCACTCCCCAAACCTGACACCATAGTCAAAGGAAACCCCTCTCCAAGCCTCAAAAAGTGCCATGCTCTTTCGTGCCCAAGCCCTCTAAGAATGCTATTCCCGCTGCATAGAACACCACTCCTTTCCTGATTAACAAAATGCTTTTCCAGCTTGAAGTAGCAGCTGAAAGCCACCTCCTCTGGCAAATATTTCCTGATCTGCCAGACTGGGACCACGCACTCTCGCTTACACAGCCCAAAGCACCCCATGCCATACCATGTACTTCTCTGCAATTGTGTCTTCTCAGTTGAATTACTTGCTCAATACCAGCTTTTCCCACCATGCTTGGACAGAGACTATGTCTGCCTTCTCCCCAGAATCTGGCACATGCCTAGCACAGCGCAAACAATAAAAACTGGCGGAGGAAGAGAATAAAGCCTAGATATTGGGTATCTGAGGCATACAAAATGCTTCCTAAGTGTCTGATAACGAGTGCAAGCAACTTGTCCTTTCTCTCCAGCAAGACAGTAAGTTATTAGAAAGGTGATTTCTTCCTCTTCCCTGCAGCAGCCAGACCAGTGGGCTGGACATCACCAGCATGACACCATTCATGGTACCCAAGATTTGGCTCCAGGAATGTAAAGAAACTAGCAGAAAAGGAAAAGCTGTGTCCCAGGCAATGACTGTTGGGGTATAAATGATAATGGTGATAACCATTCCTTCCCTCTTTTTTAGGTTTACACCTAGGTATGAATCCACACATCATCATTTCTTTTTCCTGATTTTGAGCTTCACATGAATGGAATCATACTGCATTAGGGGGAGGGGGGTTTCGGTTATCAGCATCATGTTTGTGGGGTTCAATCATGAGATTTGTGAGCTGATTCTGTTCATTTTCATTCTTTTGTGACTATTTAATTCTACTTCTGATGGCCAGCTGGGTTGTTTCCTGTTTGGGACAATTACAAATACTGCTCATGAACACTTCTGCGCATGTCTCCTAGCACACACAAGTGAGTAAATATATATTGTCAACTTATTCGATCAGGCCAAACCATTTCCAAAGTGACTATCTGTGTACGTTCTCACTAGCAGGCAATGAGCATTCATGTTGCTCCAGGGTGGTGCCAATACTGGTATGGTCAGCTTTTAAATTTTTGCCTATCTGGTAGATGGGAAATAGAATCCCATTGTGTGAGTGTATATGTGTATTTAAAAGGGAAGATGGGAGGGAGGGAAAGGAAGAGCATGAAAAAGGCCCAGTAAGAGGCCAAAGAATCCTATCAGATATTGTGCTCCTTGATTCAACTAAAGTGCTCTAAATGTTTATCTTTGGGAGGGAGGGGTCTACCCAGCTTCCATCCTTGCTTCCTTTGCTAATTCTACCCAATTTCTTTCTGGGGATCATGTGCTTAAGACAGAGCTCTCCCTCAGCTCAGGGGTAGAGGAAGAAAGTAAGTCTTAAGGCCCCCTGGCCACACTGCTTATTGCCAGGATGAGAATATGATTCAATTACAGCCAGGCACAAGGAAACCTAGTTGAGACAAGGGGGGTAAAAGATTCTCGTGGCTTCTTGGGAACACCAGGAGGTGAGATCATATGGTTTGGAGTTATAAGAGAGATTTTGCTAACCAGAGGGTTAGCCTGTTTGAGAATGCAGCCATCCCAGGTATGAAGTGAAAGAAACAGGGTCCTGATGGCATCTTGCAAAACCCTGTATCAAGCTGTGCTTGAAGCTACATCTACACTTGAACTTTTCCATCACATGAGCCAATAAATGCCCGTTTTGTCTAGCCAGCCTGGACCTGTGTGTCACTTGAAAAAAAAAATCCTGACTAATAAGGCAGAGGAAGTCACTGAAGGTTAGTAGGCTGAAATATACAGAGAGGTATGGTGTGGCGGGGAGCAGGGAAACCCAGCCTACTTACCTAGACAAAGGTCTGTGACAAAGGCAGACACCAAGTGGCAGCTCTCTCTCTGGTGCCCACAGGTCAAATACAAACTTCCAGGGCTTGCCAAATTTCCAACCTGCTCTTAGAAATTACAGGCCCTTCTTACAGTTCCTAGAATCTGTGAGTGAGGAAACACAGAACCTTCTTGTACCCCAGCTGTTGTTCTCCAAAGCCTAAAGTGAAGAGTCCTGGGTTAGGCCTAAAACCTGGATTTTCACTCAGCCTCAGCTACTCAGCTGTACAGCCTAGATTATTGGCCTTTTTTGGGTCTCAATATCACCATGAGGAAAGAGATGTCACTCTCCCACTTCAAAACTCCTAGCTGAGGTCAAAACTGCACAGCAGGGCACAAAAGGCCTCCCACAATTTAGACCCCACTTACCCATCAGCCCCCAATCCTGCCTCGCCCTAACTCTAAGCAGGAAAACAGTCCCTTTTTCTGGGCCCTCATTTCCCGCCCCTTGCCCTTGTACATGTTCTTTTCTCAGTCCCCACTCACCCTTGAAGGCTTGAATCAGATATACACCCTTGTCTGTGAGGTCCTTCCCATGCCCATCTACCTCAGGGCTGAATCCCTCCCTTGGTTAGCTTCTGCTGCATTTCTATTAGAGATCCATTCCACTGCTTAATGGATATTGTCACCTGTCTTTCTCACAACCAGACTGTGAACCCAAAGGTCACTCCTCACTGACCCTTTATCTCTAGTACCTGGCACAAAGTAGGTGGTCTGCAAATGTTGGTGAACCTAATATTATCTCATGATTCCAGAGCCCCATTATCTCCTTCCTTCTCCCCTTTTCACAACACTCCCCCTTTCCCACTTTACAATCTTTCTTCAGCAGGTTTCAAAGGCTCCCCTCAAATTAGATGTTTATCCCCCACAAACATTATCCAGCTTATCCACCACCTCCCTCCACACACACAGTTTTGAGGGGAAGGTCAACATTCCATGTCTACCAAGCTGGCAAGTTTTAATTCATTCTGGACATCAGCCAAATTAAACCTCTGTTTTCCAAAACCAGTGTTTTCCCATTCTCTCTGTCTTTTGTACTCTGGTCCTGGGGAGCTAAGTCTGAAGTCATCCCTCAAGAAGCCTCAGTACAGACTATGGACTGTCTTCTGCAGTGTCTCTGTGGTGGTCAGCTCCAGTCTGAGATGAGCCTGTCACTCCCTGTGGGGAAGTGACATCTAAGAAGTCATTTACTGCTCCTGGGCCTCAGTTTCCCTATCTCTTAGCAAGGGTACAATAATAATGTCTCGCCAAGTTCACCAGGCTGAGGTTCCTGTGAGGTCACATAAGTCAGTATTTTCAACAGCAAAAAGCTCTATAAACATACATGCTAGCAAGAAGCACAGAAGCCAACTTGAAAGAGCTCCAGTGGCCAAAACTGCAACAGTTTGAACAACAAAATAAAGTAGCAATGGATTATAAGCCAAAGTGTGCAAAAATATCCATGAGTCCATAGAGATGAGATACAAATAAATGATTGAATAAGTTAAATAAGGAAGAGAGACAAATTTCCCATGCAGAAGAATTCCAAATAATATATGTAGGTAGATACTTGTCCTCAAGAAGGACAAGCATACTCCCCCCTCCTTAGGTGTAGCCTTAGTCACATCTTTTCAAAGAGTACAGAAAGGGTGGAAAATAGAGTAACTTTGCAGTGGAGAAACCTCACATACACTATCTCAGCCAGATGATCAAGAACATCAGTCATAAATCATGTTGGCAGTGTGTACCCTTGATATGATGTGATGAGAAGAGCAACTACCTCTGTGGTCTTCCTCCCAATAACCCATAGCCTAGTCTTAGGAGAAAAACATCTGACAATTTTCAGTAGAGGAGCATCCTGCAATATACATGATCAGAAATCCTCAAAACCGTCAAGGTCATCAAAAACAAGTCAAGTCTGAGACACTGCCACAGTGAAGGGGAAGCATAAGGAGACACGAAAATTAAATGTAATGTGGGTGGGCTCATGAAACAGAAATAATACTTGGGTAAAAACTAAGGAAATGTGACTACACTAAGGACTTTGGTCAATAATAATATATCCAAGATGGTTCATTAATTGTAACATATGCACCATACTAACAAAAGATGTTAACAAAAGGGGAAAAGGTTTGGGGTATATGGGAACTCTACTGTCTTTACTTTACGATTTTTTTCTGTAAATTTAGAACTGTCCTAAAAAAGTGAAATCTATTAAGAAAAAAGGAAATTGCACTTTGGGGAACATAAGGAAATAAAGAATTTTTAAAAAAGCTAATTTGTTTGAACTTGGGGAAAAACATGCTAGGGATTATGATTTCTGCTAACAGTTAAACAGAGGGTCAGGCATGGTCCCTGACACTGGTATTTGTTGCACGCAGGAAGGAATGCCATTCTCCCATCTTTTGAAGAGCATACAAACCGTTGTGGTGTCAAAATCTGAAGTGTACTGGGAATCTGAAAAGTGTGTGCCAACCATTTGCTCCACAAAGACAAACTGACACACTTTTCTGAAAGCCAAATAGGGAGAAAACTAGCAGGGAAAATGCTAATGTGATGGAGGAGGAGGGAGTAAATGCACAGCTCCAAGTCTGTGTGGCTAAACCAGTTTATCCTGACGAAAATAAAAGTAAAGAAAACATGACCTTTGGTCATGGATTCGGCTCCAGGCAACCAGACAGTCATCTGGGCCCCACTCACTTCTGGCTCTGGAGACAAGGACGGATCAGTGCCTGAGTAGGAGAGGGGAAAGCGAGGAAGACCCACGAGGAAGGGGCGAATGGAAGCCCAAGCAAGAAGAGGGATTTGGCAGGGAGGGAGGACGGGGCGAACTTCACCTTTCTCCCGAGCCCGCCCGGCGGCCCAGCCCCATTCTGCTCCCGCGGCCCGGCCCTGGGACGCGTGTGCGACTGCGGCTTTGCTGCATTTCTCATCGGCCGCCTACTACTCACACTACTCTCGAACTCCGGACCGCGAATCCCAAACTGGGGTCCCTTCTTCCCGCGGCGGCTCGTCCCCGGTCGCAAGCCTCCGCGAGCAAAAACGCGACACTGGGTCTTCGCGGGGTGATCTCCGGGATCTTCCGAGCCCTCCACCGAGATTTCTCCCAGATCAGCGCCCGGATTGGTCCTTGCCGAACTCCGTAGCCCAGTGGGACTCCTACTCTCCCCTACGTCACTGATCACTGGGCAAATCCCCGGGCCGCTGCCGGGGGCGGGGCAACAGAGGCTGAGACAACTGAAATCCTGTTGAGCGGAAGCCGCGCGGAAGCCGGAGCCTGTTTTGCGCGCAAGGGGCGCTACCGCGTTACAGGGCGGGAGGGAGCCGACTTCGGAGGCCTAAAGAGCCCACCTGTACGGCTCTGCGATGCCAGAATTCCCTTCCCTCCTCGTGATCCCCGTGTCGGAAGGAGTTCTGCGCTAAGTGGCGTTCCTCAGATTCTCAGCGTTAAATAGGACTCCCTGCCCGCAGCGTGGCCTAAATTTGCTTCTTGAACCAGGCAGGATCTTAGAAAGCAAACACTTTAAGGACGCTGTTTACAAATATTAACTACTATTTTCGAAGCGCCTGCGATGAGTAAGGTCCCCATTCGACGGAAGGGAAAACTGAGGTTTAGGGTCGTGGGCTCAGCTCATGGGGCTTTTTTCCCTCCGCGTTGGATTTGGAAATCACAGATCCCGCAGAGCTCGCCGGGATTCGGGTTCCCAGAGTCCTCGGCGGGGGCGGGCAGGCTTCCCGGAGGCTCCGGCGCTATGCGCACGGGTGGCCCCGGAAGCTGACGAAGCTCAACCTGCGCGCGCGTCCGGCTCCGTCCGCAGTTGCAGCCCGCGATCTCATTGCAGGCGGTACCGTGTGCGGCCGCTGCAGCGTCCCAGGCACGCTACAGGGTAGTCCCCGTCTCCCGGTGCCAGCGGGGCCGTCGCTGCCTTCAGCCCCCGCGCGGGGCTGGCGGTTGGCTGGGGAAAGGAGGTGAAGATTTGGGCCAGCTAGTTCCCTGCCCCTAAGGGTAACAGGACTAGGGGGTGAGGGCACAGGTCGCCTGTCTAGGCGAGGGTAGGGGATATTGCTGGCTTTGGGAATTCAGGACGGCGTGAGCTCAGGGTTCTAAATTCTCAAACCTGCCAGGCCTCCACCCCTCCCCCGCAGGGGGTGGAGTAATTTGAAATGTACGCACAAGGTTTAACGCGAGCCGGTATAGATGGGGTATTCAGAAGAAATCCGCACGCATATTTTACCTGCCCCGTGCCCCGCCCTCCCCCGATCCCCATGCCCTGCGGTCTTCTCCGCTTTCCTCCATCAGTGTAGCTCTCTGGCAGCCCCTCTCTTCTGGGCCTAGGGGTGTGGACTTCACCTACTCAGCGCGACTGCGGCGGGCCTGGACTGCGGCGGGCCTGGACTCCGGGTGTGTTCTCAGCACATCCTAAACCCTTCTTCTACCTGGTCTTTTAGTTTGATGTTGGGGAAAAAGTGTGTTTAAAATGTTCCTTAAATGATTTCATGCTACTAATCGAACTCTTTCCTTGTCCCCACCCACAGACCATTCTGTGCATCCTCCAGCCATAGAGGTCCCCTTATCCTGCTTAAAATTCCCTGATACCTTCCCAGACCATTTAAAGAGACAGGAAGGCCTCTATGTTGCCACGTCTTCCTCAGTCCCTGTGCTTCAACCCTTCTGGTCTTGAAACTCTTGCCTAGCTCCTTGCATGGCTGCCTTCTTGTCAGTCATGTCTGCTTAGTTGGCATCTCAGAAAGGCCTTCTTCCACCATCAAGTCTAAATTCCCTATCATGCATCACTATGTCACTCTCTTCTGTTGTCATCATTGAAAGCATCTTGTTCATTTCCTGTGGATGTGTTTATTTTGTTTACACCCCCGGCCCAGTGTGAGACCCATGAAAATGGAGTCATCACCCCTCCTCTGGGCACCTGGCTGTCACTCAATAGATGTATGTTGAATGAATGAGCTCTGTGGGTATTTCTGGAAACTTTCATGTGGCCCTGCTTGGCTGCAGTATCAGCGATGCACTCCCCTCTCCCCTCACACACCTTGGTGGATAGAGCTTCTCAAGTCCAACTAAGGACGATGGAAACGGTGACACCAAGGCTTGGTTTGTGTATCAGAGGCAGGTGTGTAGCAGTATACTGTGGTACGTGACCCTGTAGCTTCTGGCTGCTCAGACTCGTCCCCAGATTTCTGAGAGCAGAACCAAAATGCCTTCCTCCAGCTCTCCAGAAGGAGTCCAGGGCAGTATACGGGGCTGCCTAGGTGTTTGGCTTTGGAGTCAAGTCTCTGGCTCTGCGTGGGCTTGAATCATCCTCTCTGCCTCTTTCTATGTGGCTTTGGGGAGTTGCTCATCTTTTATGTGCCTCAGGTTCTTTCTCTGCAAAATGGGATTGATAATTATATCCGATTCACAGAATTGTTTTGAAGATTAAATTAGATAATATATGCAAAACCTTTGAAACAGTGGGTAAGTGTTGACTAGGCCAATGGGTATGGTATACTTGCATTTGAATTGAGAAGCTTAAGCAAGAAGATGTAGTAGGTATATTCCTGGACCAGCTCTGATTTAGCCTCAGGAAGAACTAGGGGCTACCTCTATAATTGACTTTGCATAGTATAACTTTGCTGAGTTAAAATGCGGCATTCAGATATCTCAAGGTCCTAAGAATGTTAGAGGGCTTGGAAAGAGGCCTCCAAACAAAATTACTTAAAAATATGAAGTTCCCATTGGTAAAGATGCAAAGAATTTGTTTGAATCTTTCATGTGAAGGATACCTTGGTCTCAGGGCCAGAATAAATGACTGTCTCTAAAGGAAAAGCTAGAAGTTGAATGAACTAAACTGAGTTTTAAACCTACATTTCTGTTTTAGCAAAGGTTTAACTAATAAAGGAATAATGCTACTAAGAACCGACTGCTTTTGTGCTAAGACCTGGCTGCAGGCTGAAAAATAACAGGTTTACCTATCCCTTTAAAAGGAAAAAAGGTATTTTGGATGCCAACAGCATTAACTGCTGAGTTTTGAACAGAAAGAAACTAGGCCGAGCCAATCTCTGTATGACTTGGGTTGTCCTTTAAAATTCTTTACATTCCAAATTTAGGACTTTCAGATGTCTTTTAAGTTAGTGAAAATATATAGTAAACATTGAGAAATTTAACTTTTAACCTTAAAATTAAGATTATAAACCCTATGTGATGAAGGGGCAATTACCCCAGAATGTGAAATGAAACATTATCATGGCATATTTTTAAAAATTCTTATGGAAAATTTCAAACCTACACGAAACTAGAGAAAACATGAACCACTTGGCTTCAACAATTATCAACATGTTTTTGTTTTATTTATTTTGTTTTAGCTGTTTCCTTCCCCACTTTTTAAAAAACAAATATTTTAAAGTAAACCCCAGACATTTTACTTCCCATGTACATACTTGCATATGCTTTTCTAACAGGGACTTTGCTACCAAAATGCCATCATTGCACCAAAAAAAAGTGTTCATATAATTATTCAATAACTTCATATCACTTAGTACCTAGACCATATTAAAATTCCCTGATTTTCTCAAAGATGTCTCTTTTACAGTTGAAATGTCTGAATCCAGATGCAAACAAAGTCCACACTATTAAGAAACAGGCAAAATGCCGACTGTGTGTTCTTCTGTGTGATGCTGGAATATTTCCCAACAGGCCCACAAAAGAATTACCTAGTAAAGCTCTAGGGTAGCTTTGCTTTGACTTACTAATTTAGGCCATTTAGAGTACTCTTTAAGAGCAGATGTTAACTTATAGAAAGGTGATATAGATGCAAATGATTCTTGATCAGTAGCAATGTAAATGAATTTTATTCAGTAAAGATACAAAAGATGTATGTCCAGGTCCATGTATATTCAGTCTTTTGAATTTTCTTTGAAATAGTTATTTTTTATTGGTCCCCTTATTAATACATCATTGGATACATACTTGCTTTAGATTTGTGTAGGACAATTGTTTTTAACTTTCTGGAAATTACCCTTTGACAATATGTTGCGTTTTTGTATGTCTTTTAATCCTCTTCTTATCTGTAGCAATCCACCCTCCCTTTAGTTTCATGCTGTTGATTTGTTGGAGAAACAGTCCATTTTTCCTGTAAAATGTTCCACATTCTGGATTTGTCTGGTTTCCTCACGGTATCAGTTAACTCATTCCTCTAAGCCCTGTATTTATTGTAACTGGTAGTTAAATCTAAGCTTTATCAGATTTGGGTTCAACTTCTTAAGACAAAAATATATCATAAGTGGTGCTGGGTACGTATAGTATCACATGAAGAGGGATGTAATCTCTGTCCCAGAGATTAATCTCTTTCCCTCTGAAAATTTGCCTTTGCAGGGAGTCCAACCCACAGGCCTTCCCCTCTTCTTGTCCCCCTTTCCTTGTCTCTCAGAAGGAAACTCATGTCACCATATGGTGACCTTTACTTCTCTCCTTCCCCTGAGGGGGACATGACTATTCTATTTCTGATAGGCTCTTCCCTGCCTCCTCAGAGAAGTGAAGTCAAAGCCAGGGACCACTTCAGGCCACATGTCTTAAATCATCCACATTCTCTGAGTCAGAGGCATATATATCATTAAGGATTCTCCTCAATGGCTTCTCACAAAAAGTTGCTAACAAAACAAGTTCCAGAATGACTATAGCTCCATGGGTGTATTCTCAGGAAAATCTCCCCAGTGGGAGGTATACCCAATTTCCCCAAGTACCCAATTTAGGAATGGTAACAAGGTGCCTGTCCCAGAATTTAACAAGCTCACTCTTGATAAAGGTCATGAGTTCTGCCCATAACCCTCCATTTGGCTTCATTCAATAGGACCAATGTTGCCCTATCACGTAAAGGAATAATCCAAGCTCTCCAGATGCTGGCAGTAACAATTCCAACTCCAGAGGGAGCCTTGTTCTTATTCTGTGTACTACTGTATCTGCCCTTGCTCATGCCCCCTTAGCCCCCTGTAGGGTGTGTTGCACAAGAAGGGACTTTAGAACTACAGGGGGTGATTGCCTATACCTATTGAAACAGGCTCAGAGGAGACCTATGTCACTAGTGTTTCTCCTC